AGTACAATATCTACCTCTGAGATGTAGTACAGTAGAAAGTACAATATTTATCTCTCAGATGTAGTACAGTAGAAAGTACAATATCTACCTCTGAGATGTAGTACAGTAAAAAGTACAATATTTATCTCTCAGATGTAGTGGAGAAGTAGAAAGTAGCATAAATGGAAATATGCAAGGAAAGTACAAAAATGTAGACAATGTCCTGAGTTATTTTCCAGCACTGAATGAGTGTGTGTTGTAAATAAACATATACAAGGACATGAATTACCCTATTGAAGGTTTTAGTTATCTGTTATAGATAAGTTATCTGCTGAGATATAATGAAATCAATGTCTAACAGTGTTGGTAGCTTTATACACTCACATAATTCCCTTTTGAAAGAACTATTTCATGTGGAGCAATGATTCCTTGACATTGTTTTGCAAAGTGTCCTTCTTACTCACAAAAAAAGTGGGAAACAAATTCATAAAAATCCAACGAAGCGCTGCTTTACCCGAGTGATGGCGCCGGCTGCGTGGTTGCTGGAGGAAGGATCACAGAAGAACCCTTTGGTGCTCTGCGTCTTCTGATGGATCTGACTTTGTCTGTCATGTTTACACTTTGAGCGTTTCTCAGTCGAGCCACAAACCGGAGCAAAGCAAAGCAAAAAGAACCACACCGCGCTGCAAAGCAAAGATATATTCCACTGCATCACGAGCTGTTCAGTGAGCCATATGAGTCGAGCAGTGAAAAGCTCCTCCCCCCCTCAGATAAACACCTGCAGCAGGTGAACCTTGGAGCGCTTTATGTGGGACGGTGGACAGCGAGAAACAGTAAGCGTGGATGAGTGTGGCTCAGAGTTAGGCTCGAGGTGTGGTTGGACTTGTATGTGAACTGTGTTTGGTTGAACAAGTGACAAATATACGCTTAGAAGAATAATTACTTTATTATACAGTTGAACCAGTAAGTAACTGATAAAATATTGATTATAATAGTAGAAAAAAAACCTGAAACTTTTTTATTTGCATTGAAAATATGAAGCAGCATTTTATTTGTTCTTTTAAAAACAGTCTGGAGAAGTGACAAGAGATTTCAAAATAAATGTTGCTCAGTGAATCATTCAGGATTCACAAGAGTGATCTGTTTAAAATTCACAAAAGGTACTTTATTTTTAACAGTACACAGAATCTACGGCTTGCACAATGATACAGTCATAAAAAAAATTGTTTACTACAGATTTTTTAAAAACATTAACTAAAGCATTAGCTAAAATGTGGTGAGCTGATGCAGTGTGTTTCATATTTCAAGTTTGCTGACATTTGCTTAAATGATCCACCATTAGGTTAAATGTTGTGGAAGTAAAATAACTTGGAAATTCACATTTTCATTTGAAAGTGAAGGAATGTGTTTTTACTTCTGTTCAGTTTGACATATCCTCACTTAAGGAGAGACACAACAGATACAACATTTAACTAATAGATATCATCATGAAACTTCTTCAGTTGATTATTAACGTTAAGACGATTATTTTTTGTATTTCAAGATTCCTGAAATGTTTAGATATGCAAATATTTTTTCATTTTGTTTTGACAGAGGGAATGTTGGATAACTCTTTCTATTACCCCATAAATCAGAAAATACTGTCAATATTATGTAATAAAATGTAGTATAAATGAGTCTCTGAATGATATGTGAACAAACCCCTCTGTGTTAACCTTCAGACTATAGAGAGGAATGAAACTGGAAAGTTTGGTGTCAAGATATGTTTTGTTAAATTACAGACATTTTGAAGACACTACAGGTGCATCGATAGATATCACCATCAGACTTACCCAGTTCATTACTTACATTAGGACAATTCTTTTTTTGTGTTACAAGTTTTAAGACGTTTTCTGTTTCAATAAGCAAATGAGGCATTATCTAAAGGTTACTTTTGGTGAACACGACTGAAGCACCTCATCAGAATCACAGAACAGGGTACAAAGCGTAGCTCGCGATGCCACACGTGTTTCTGCCGTCTCGGACCATTCGCATGAAGCCACCTTCGCCCCAACTGCTTCCCCAACTAAGAAGAAAAAACAAAGAATAATAGAAGATTTAGTGTTGGACAAAATCCACCGATGTTTTATATGTGGAGGTTGTTGTTTTTTCTGACCTGTTTTTGATGATCCAGTAGTCTTGGCCTCCTTCTGAGCCGTAGCCAACCAGCAGCACCGCGTGACTCAGATTGTTCGGGTTACAGTTTGGCTCATCGTATATTCCTGCAAAGGAAATTTCAACCTGCTTTAATTTATTAGTTGGCCACTTGGGGGCAGCGTAAACAAGCTGTAAAGAAAACTTTTTAGCTCTGCTTTGGTCTCCACCAACTCCTAATTATCTGGCTTTTTAGCTTCTAAATGCTTCACTATGTTCACCAGCTAGCTTCTAACTGTCTGCCTGATGTTTAGTGCTGGTGTGGAAGCAAATATGAGACAAGTATTTTTATTGTACCATCCACTATTACATCATCAGTAATCTGGATATAAGGACTAAGTGGGTAAAGGCAACTTATAGAACAACTAGAACAGTCTGGTAAGTTCACTTTCCTGTGATGCAGCCTTTAAAACAAAGAAAAGACATCACTTTCCAAAAATCATAGATCTCATATCACAATGTTGATATAATATTTATGTTTTTCCCCAGCCCTAGTATAGAGGGAGTATTTCACAATCAACCTGAGCTGTAGAACAGGAAGCTTGAGTGATCCGCATCAATAGCTACTGTGATTGGACCGATGGTTGCCACAGCATCAGCCAGGGCCTGCTCGTCTCCTTTGGGTATGAACCTGTAGTCTTTGATGTGGGCCACTGCAAGTCTGCTGTCGTAGAAACAGGGCTGGGTGTCCTGTTGAGGGGCAAATAGAGCTGAACGTTACCGACAGGCCGGACACCGAGTACATAACTGTTTCTAAGTGCTCATTTGGAGGCGGAGCCAGCAGGTTGAGGCTCACCACCGAGGTGTATGGGTAGGCGTTTGTGGACTGCAGCCCGTTGTTGACCACGTAGTCGTAGGCGTTGGCCATCCAGGCACCGTTGCAGCCGTAGGTACCATAAGATCTGGAACAGTCCACCAGGTTTTGTTCACTCAAGGACACGAGTTGACCCGTCTTCTTGTAAATTTGTCCCTCGATGGCTCCCGTAGTGCTGAAGGCCCAGCACGAGCCACAGAATCCCTGAGAAGTTTATTTAAACGAACAGTAGATTAGAAGGTGTTCATGATTGTGTATAAAAAAACCTGAAAAAGAATTTAGAAATGTCTTACCTGGTCTTTCACCTCAGTGACATAACCCATGTTCCTGTAGTCGACGACATAAGCATCCAACTTCTTAGCGTTGTTACGCAGCCTTCGGCCCGAGACGATCTTCCCTCTCTTCACGAATTGGGAGTCTATCATGGCGCCTTGCAAAACCTGGTACTCTTGTCTCGTCTAGAGAGCATGAAGAAGATTGTTTCACAATAATTAATGTTATTGAGTTGGCAAGACTGTTCGTAGCTAAGCCTGGGAAAAGTAATGCACTTTAATTTGTATAAAACCCATGTAGTCAATTTGGATGAGGAAACATTGAGTAAACATATGAAACTTAGTCTATTAACAAATGATCTGTTTTTTAATGGCATGAAATCTTCACTTAAAGCTACTTGAGGAACTTTCATTTTGTGTTGATTCTGTTGGTCCCTGTGGACAAAAGCCGTAGTGCTTCCGAGCACCAGACTCCCTTTGGAAAACCTCATTTTACTGCAGCAGGGTCTGACAGTCTGCCCTGCTCAGTCCTGGTTCTGGTTCTCCCGTGCCTCCCTTCCCAGCAGGTCCAGCAATACATCCTGGGTCTCCAGCAGCGTGGTGTCGCTGTTGGCTCCCAGAGAAAAGAAGCTCTTCTCCTGACGGAAGAGAAGGAGACGCTGCTGCTGCTGCCGGGAGCTGAGCTCTCCTACTCCCTCCGGAGCTCCTGATCTGGGTCTGTCCACGATGGACCGGTCTCTGCTGGAGGATCTGGGTCTGTCCACGGTGGACCGGTCTCTGCTGGAGTCTGAGCTGAAGGAGTTTCTAGTGAACCTGCATGAGTTCATCTGGTTTCACCAGAATCTGACCCGGTGGCTCCGATGACGAGCATTAAGAATAACTCTATAGAAACAGAGCATCTTCTGTCTGACGGTCTCACTTACTGATGAAGGTCATATAGACTCGAGGATCAGGACTGAACTGGGTTTTAGTTCCATGCTCCTCACAATAACCTTTAAATACTTTGATTTGAGGTTTTAGGCAGTGGAGCTTTTAGCATACAGAGGCAAACACTTCTCCTTACCAGGTCTCCGTATTTATTCATGGCCATCGTGAACGGCATCGTCCCCACGAAAAAACCTTGATTATTGTCTTCAATCATCTGCTTGTTCTCCCCCCAGATGGCCATCCTTTGCATGTCGTCCTGCATGAAATCACAGGAAGACTCAGAGTGAATCAGAGCACTTACAGTTGGCGCTTGTACTTTAGACGTGGAGTCAGTCTCACCATGTCTTCGTAGTTTATGCCATGGCTGCTCTTCCAGACCTCCCACTCAGTCGGGGCCACCTCGTCTGACTCCGAGGCCACATGCTGTGGGCCGAACAGCAGGACGGAGAGCAGGGCGGCTCTCAGCAGGAAGCTGGCCTGCTGGACTAGAAGGACAAGAGCATCACAGTGGAGTCACAGGTTTTGGTTGGACCTCAACAAATTGTAATAATCACAAAATTATTTTGTCATTTACAGCAAAAAATCAACAGCATAAGCATCGGGACACTGATGTAGAATTGTAGAGTTTTTGTAGTACACTGAAATTTGGATTTTTGGTCAGCAGAGGTGAGACTACGTATTGTTTTGCACGTCACAAGTAAGTTTCAAGTCTTTGTATTCTAGTCCCAGTTCCTTAACTTTTGTGTTTTGAGTCCTGAACAAGTCAAAATGGGCTCTTCACCAAATGTAATGCCATCTTTGTAACAGAGTAATAAGAAGAAGAAAGACGACAAAATGTTATTTAAAGTGCGACTGAACTTAATTATTAAAAAGACTAGACTGGTTAAGTCCGTCATGTGACTCGAGTCCATACCTCTGCTGGTCATTATATCTTTGGGTTATTGCATGAGATCTTTGTTATTCATTCTGACCATACAACCATACGACCTACAAGTTAAAACATCGTAGAGATGCCAGTTGTAGTAACACGACACTTTTCAGCACCTCCATAAGAAAATGTGCTCTGTACTTATTAGAGTAAAGACATACACAGTAACTACCTGCTGTAAAAACACAGGGTGCTTTTCTTAAAGTGAAGAACATAATATTCATTTCTAAAGTGGGGTTGATACTCGCTGTCGTGGAACTCTGGGGAAAAAGAACTCTATTGAAAAGGCTACATTTTAAACGTGACACTAGACGTTCTTCTTATGACTGAAGTCTCAAAAAGACACAATATGTCATATAAATAATCATAAATGAGGACACAAACTCTACATGTTGCTGCACGTACAAGGCCGCCTGTAAGCTCAAATACTTAAATTAGTTTAATCTAGCAGATGTTATTCTCTCCACAACAAGAGTGATTATAATGAACAAAAATAAAAGCCAATATATATCCTCAGAAACATCAGCATCTGTAGTCATGCCTCGTGACTTTTAAAATACAAGGTTGTCTTTATAATAAAAGGAACACGTTCAGGTATTTCTCTCTAACTATATGAAAGAAACAGCCCTGCTTACCTTCATGGATGTGTTTTGTTCCCATGGTCTGAGAGGGACTCTGGGTAGCGACACAGCTACACACTCACCGTCAACCTTCCTTTTATAGCTTTGCAATAAGTACATGCTTCCACTATACTTTCATGGATCCCTTAATCAACATGTATGCCAGCACCTGAGGAGGACATTAGTCAACAAAAATAAGATGCTTTCGCTGCTCCTCCTCCATAATACCTCTATTATCATTTAGAGAGAGCTAAAGCTGCAATATTGTAAATCCTTCAATCACCGGGTTATAAATGAGCACAACACCTGACATTAAACTTTCCAAAAAACAAGCTGTGGAGAAAGTACACAGATCATTTACTTCAGTAAAATTACCAGTAATGTATGTGTTTATTTTACTACTTTGTCTGTTTACGTCTGTAGATTTCTCCTAAATTCACCAAAAGGTACCGTTACATAATGCCTCATTTGCATATTTAAACATAATATTTCAGAAAACTTGTAATACAATAAATACTCCTCTTAATGTGAGTGATGAAGTGGTGAAGTTTCATGGTGATATCATGAGTTCATGTGTTCACCTGTAGAGTCTCTAAATGTCTGTAATGGAACTAAACGTCTCTTTAAAGGACGTTTCCTCTAAATGAGTTTGTTCTCAGACTCTGATGATAAATCTCCACTTCAGCAGCTCTTACATTCACCAAACTTCACTCGTTCATTCCTCTCTGTGTGCTGAAGGTTCACACAGAGGGGTTAGTTCACACACCACTCACACACTCATTTATACATTTATTAATAAAACATGGAGAAAATAGATTTTTTTTAAATGGCTGTAATTTCCGTATTTTCTGATACAAAGATATTTAAAACTCCCTCTCGAAAAACCTTTGACTCTAATATGTCGAAAAAATGAAACATGAATTTTGAAGCTGGCTTCATCCAACATTTATGTTCTGGAAATGTATGCAAATTAGCACATATTTAATAAGAGAATGCCTTATTTGCATATTTACATTTCTTAAATCTTTACCCCTTTTCAACTGTAGTGTCTCCACTTAAAAAGTTATTTAATTTAAATATAAATCATTTCAAAGCAAGATGAGTTACAGGGCTTTTCATGTTTATTAATTTAATCAGATAAATATTATGAATGCTTGTTTATTAACTGCCCCCTGGTGAGTAGTAGCGCCACCCAGCGGTCTGCTGCGTGCAGCACCGCGTGCAGATGCTCAGCTGACTGTCTGCCTGTTATTATGCCGCGAGCGGCCGCGCCTCCAACACCCAAACACAGTGCGGCAAAAACCGGCGAGCGGCGCTCAGCAGCCTCCGCGTCGTCTCCACTGAATGAGTGCGCAGGAAGAAACATGAGTCACGAATGAGGTCTGCAGGATGTCTTTCAAGGTAAACCAGCTCTTTTATTTTTCCTCCTCCCCATCCATTATCCTCAGCAGCGCGCGTGCTAGAGGGCCCTCGTGAGGAATCACACCTGCGTCCTCTTAACGCGTTCAGGGTTCATCAACAATGTGGGTTTATTTACCTGTAGGGAGCATGTGAGACCTGGAATTAAATACGCTGTCTACATTCAGTCTGGCTGCGCGCGCATCTGTGTGTGCATGCGCGTGTGGGTATAAATAGGGCATCGTATGGCCTTGTGTGCTCCGACTTCAATTTCATACATGCACTTGTATAGTTTGCATGTGTGCGCGCGCTGTTTCATTTATTGAAATCCCCTTTCATTATTCAAAAAAAAGAGATGGAAATATGTGTTTGACACTTTAAACCTGCAGCGGACACTGTTTACTGCCGGTCTGAAGCCTATAATACTATAATGGTGGTTTAAGGTCAGTGCTTGTTGTGTGTATTTACCCTCCAGAAGGAAACGCCCCTGGCTAACGCCGTGTTTTGGGCCGCGAGGAAGGGGAACTTGGCTCTTCTTCAGCTGCTGCTCAACAGCGGCCGCGTGGACGCGGACTGCAGAGACAGTGTACGGACGCTGCATGTCCCGGCTGCTCCGCTGCACGCTTTAACCATAACCCGCCTGTGGTAGGGAGACAGAGGGCTTCAAGCCTCACCTCTGTGGTCGCATGTGTGTAACCACTCATTTCATGTTTGGTTTGTTTTATTTTCATCATAATAAAGGGGGAGGGGTTTTAATGTGTTTCATTGGAATAAAATCTGCAGAATTTTGGAGGTTTAGTCACCTGATTTAAAGGAAACACAAAGTAAAAAACAAAATGTCTCACTGCTTGTGCACATGCATTTATCTACCAACCTACAAACTGTGGAATATGACAGCCCAGGCAGTTTTTTTGGGATCAGATTTGTCTCATGGAGGCTCGTTAGAACGGGATATCAGAATATCAGAGGACTAAATTCCCAAATAAAAAGAAACAAAAAAACATGATTTGGCAGAAAAAGAGAAAGAAAAACTGGTCTGTAAACATGTGTGATGCCTCTGTCAGCTGTCAGCTAACCAAATTAAATATTCTGCTGACCCCCACACATCACTGCCATTATGAATCCAAATGTCATGTATTCAGGCTCATATTTTCTCATCACATGCTTTGGAGGTTTAACTGCTGCAGGGTTGTCTCCCGCATCACTTTTTCGTTTCAAAAATCCATTTTGTGTCTGATGGTGGCAAATCACGACTCTGCCTGATGATGAGTCATGATTGATGCGGTGATATCAAACTTCACTGGTCATTGAAGTCGTGCTTTGTTAATAACTACATTTTCTTATTCATGTGAATCCTTGAGCCCATTTAGATATAAAAATAACTAATAAGTAATTTTTAGGCAACCAAAATGTTACAATTAACTTTCATGAAGTGAAAACACACTTTGAAAGGATTAAAGTTTTAAGACGACAACAAGGACAACTCTCAGACCACGGTAGAGACCTGTCAATCACTGTGTAGCCCCGCCCTAAAGCATCCCCTGCTTTATGGTCTGTTTGACTCTAAATGGACCATAATGTACTAAATGAACATCATGCTGTATTGAAGAAGACTTGAAACTAGAGATTGAGACCATAAACTCATGTTTACAATGTTTACTGAGGTAATAAATCAAGAGAGAAGTAGAGTCATTTTCTCATAGACTTCTATACAACCAGAGGAGTCGCCCCCTGGTGGACACTAGAGAGAATGCAGCTTTAAGACACTTCCACATCGGCTTCACTTTTCAGAACCAGAGGTTTCAGAGAGACAGTGTGATAAAAATAGAATGTGTTTGTTTGAAGCATGAAAGTAGAAACCCAAAATACAAGTAGGAACCTGAAAATGTCCATGATATGTCTAATTTAAAGTACTATTCTGTCATCTTTTCTGTGTTCAAGTCATCTGCAATAAAACACATAGAAAGTAGTTATAGTTGAAAACAAGCTCCTGACTTTGTCTCATGAAGTAGATTTGTTCTTCTGCTCATTTATTGCTGCCATGTTTCTTTCCAGTATGGAACAACAGCGCTGATGGTGGCGTCCTACAGCGGCTATTATGAGTGTGCCAAAGAACTAATCATGCAGGGAGCCGACATCAACTACCAAAGAGAGGTATGATTGCAAAATAATAGCTCATTTAAACAGTATAAGACTTTTCTGGATTACCAACGGAAAGTCTTGAATCTGTAGAGACGTTACAAAGTAGTCAGCAGAGATTCCAGGAAGTTTATACATACTGTTTTTCCTGTCTTTGTGCTATGCTAAGCTAACCGTATTCTGGATGTAGCTACATATTTCAGCGTACAGAAATGAGAGTGGTCATTTGCTCTCGGTGTAATCCACAAAACGGCAAACTACCCAATAATAAAGCTTCTGCAAAATAATTATGAAGATGGGCAGCAAGATTAAAGTAAACTTACAGACTGCTTCTGAAGTCTAATGAGCAATTTAATTGAATATGTTTCCATTAAAATACAATCAACGTCAAAGTCAAATGAAAACAGCCGTATCTCTTTCAATCTTTTCAGACGGGTTCCACCGCCCTGTTCTTCGCCTCCCAGCAGGGACACAATGACGTTGTGAAGCTCCTCTTTGAATTCGGTGCCTCCACTGAATTCCAGACAAAGGTATGCAGCAGCGACGATGAATGTGTATCACAGTCTTTATAGTACTGGGTGTGATGGAGACTGCAGCGATGCTGTCATCTCAGACGTGATACATACTGCTCTCGTGTCAAGATAAGCATGCGCGGATTATGAGACAATAAGGCCCCACCACCTCTTATGAACAAGACTCTCAGATTGTATACTTGTTTAGCCTGTTTCTGTTGTTGTTTTGGTCTCTTTGTGGTCATTTTGTGTTTCTTTGTCGGCTATTATTTTTTGTGTGTGGTTGTTGTACCCCTTTTGTAGCAGTTTGGCACATCTTTGTAGTTTTTTTGCTCATTTTGAGTCTCTTTGTAGTTGTTTTGTGTCTGTTTGTGGTCTTTTTGTGTCTCTTTGTAGTTGTTTTGTGTCTGTTTGTGGTCTTTTTGTGTCTCTTTGTAGTTGTTTTGTGTCTGTTTGTGGTCTTTTTGAGTCTCTTTGTAGTTGTTTTGTGTCTGTTTGTGGTCTTTTTGTGTCTCTTTGTAGTTGTTTTGTGTCTGTTTGTGGTCTTTCTGTTTCTCTTTGTTGTTCTTTTGTGTCTGGTCTTTTTGAGTCTCTTTGTATTTGTTTTGTATACGTTTGGGGTCATGTTGTGTCTCTTTGCAGTCGTTTTGCCCCTTTTCATAGTCATTGTGTGTCTCTGTGTCTTTATAATTGTTTTGTTCTTTTTTGTGGGCTCGTTATTTTTTGTCTGTGGTCATTTTACCCCTTTTTGTTGTTGTTTCTCTCTGTAGTTGTTTTGTGTCTTTGTAGTTGTCACAACGTCACAACATATGCTAGTCAGGCTGCTTTAGACATGTTCTCTCCACAGCATGCAACACACAGTGGTGACCTTTAACTGTTATTCTCACTGCTAGCTTGTTTTGTTCTTGTGGTTTTTGTGCCAGGACGGTGGCACAGCTCTCACTGTCGCCTCTCAGTACGGACACTCGAAGGTGGTGGAGACCCTGTTGAAGAATGGAGCCAATGTTCACGACCAGCTGAATGTGAGCCACATCTTCAGCCTCTCCTTTAAACCTGTCAGTACCTCCGTCTGTCAGGAACATGATGGTTAGTTGCAACACAATGTCCCCAGCAGCTGGAATCCAGCCTCTCAGGTTTTTGCAGACTGCTGAGTCAGACACGACTGACATTTGGCAGGATTAGTGTCTGTCCTTAGGCAGGTGAAAACAACCTGACTTCACATACATACATTTATGAAATAGTAGCAATATGTTATGAATACACTTTTTAAATAGCTGGAAACCTTTCTGACCGTTTTTAGCAATATAAGTGGAAAAGTGTGTCAGATGAGTCTTTTGTGTTACAGGACGGTGCCACCCCTCTGTTTCTCTCCGCTCAGGAGGGTCATGTGACTGTGATTCGTCAGCTGTTGTCATCTGGTGCAAAGGTTAACCAATCGAGGGAGGTAATGCCCTCGCCTCTTCAGCATTTTTTAGAGATTTAAAGGGCTCACAGCTCCTCTTTCTCAGCCCCTCTCATGCCTGCATCCACTCTTAATATTCCTCTTTTGTTTCACCTCCTCCCTCTTTTGTCCTTTGTCTCTGCATCCATGTGTTCTCCAGGACGGCACCGCCGCCCTGTGGATGGCAGCTCAGATGGGTCACAATGAGGTGGTGAGGGTGCTACTCTTACGTGGTGCAGATCGGGATGCTGACAGACAAGTATGTCGTTCTTTTAGAATCAACAAAGCACATAAAATTGTAGGGATTGATGATTGGTGTGGTTTCGTCCTCTTGTACCATGTTATCTGCTGATGAGGACCATGTGATATAGTTGAAAGCCTCAGAGCAAGTGAGTAAGAGGACCTTGAGTGGAGCTTGTTTTGTTTGATAATTCTAGGCTTTCTCTGTTGTCTATCAAGGATGGATCAACAGCGTTATTCAAAGCTGCTTATAAGGGACACAACAGCGTCATTGAGGAGCTTCTCAAGTTTTCTCCTTCAGTTGGAATTCTCAAGGTAGATGATGCTGCTGACGTTTTGATAAGGAGACGTACTTGATACTAGTCTCATGTCTGTAAGGTAAAACCTCAATGTGCCGCTTTCACACTTCAGTTTGGTTGTTCAGAGTTAGATCAGATGATTGATCTCACGTCTTTCCATTCAAAATTAAGTTCCAGCCGGCAGTCAGTTAGCTTAGCTTAGCATAAAGACTGGAAACAGGGGGAAACAGCTAGCCTGGCTCTTTCTGACTGGCTCTCAACTTATCGTTTTTACACTTATGTTTGTTTTTCTTTTGTGCAGATTTAAAGACATGAGATATACCATGTTGATTAGTGAGGTGCTGGTGTTTTCGGGGCCCCTGGCCTTCACCTACAAAATGTCCCTCAAAGAGACACATGCCAACCAGGAAGAGACTCAACACGACCACAAAGAAACATAAAACGACGACAAAGAGACAGAAAAACACCACAAAGACAAACAAAACAACAGAGAACTGCGTTACGACTAAAAATCTGACACGAAACAAGCACATAAAGAGGCTGAACATCTATAAAGTCTGTGTGTGTTGCTCCTTTGTAGGAGAATTAGTGGGGCCTCTTGGGGCCCATTGTGTCATAATCCGCCCCTCAGCCTATATTTCCAAAAATGTCAAACTATTCCTTTAATACTAACCCTGCAACTCTGGATAAATAGCAGGTTTATATTTGTTAATAAGCAGAGAACATAACACCTCTCCATTAGCATTAGAATCATCTTTATTTGTTGTCCCCAGAACGGCTCTACTGCCCTTCATGCTGCTGTTATGGGTGGAAATCTACAAACTGTCCTGCTGCTGCTTAGGGCCAACGCAGACCCGACAATACCCAACAAGGTGAGGCACTGAGATTAGAAAGATGAGCAGATAACTTCAATCTTGTAAAAATATTTCTCGGGTGTGTTTTTTTTCGCAGAATAATGAACTCCCTGCAGATCTCACGAAGAGCGATCGCATCCTAAAGGTGTTGCATCCAAAAACGTTAAATGGAGACAGTTGATGACCAACCAGAGTCCGTCCTTCATGCCTGCCACTTCCTCACTGATGATGAAGGGGGGGGGGGGGGGGCTAAATATAACAACGATACAGTGTCAAATCTACATGTACTATATACGGTGCTTGCTTTTGATTGCGACTGAAATGAAGCCATCATATGTTGAATAAACCTGGACTAAATCTGGAGCAACACAATGTGCAACCACAATGCATTTGTCTGCCATCTCCTTTACTCTGTTGTTCTACAGTATACAGTATATGCATTTATCTTTCTTTTACCAGGCGTTGTAAGATTTCTAGATATATTTTGCACACCTTTTATTTTGCCCTGTTTAATAGATGTAATAAAGTGTACATTTGTTATTCAATCCATTAGTGGCAGTGTGCATTTTCATTTAATATGTGAGGATTAGGGATTTCATTTTGAAAAGTCACAGACGTCCTGATCAGTATTTTAATAATGAAATAGATATATTTTGGCTAAAACATGATTTAGTTATGACTTATATTCACTAGCGGTCAGTATTTTAATAATAAAATAGATATATGTTGGCTAAAACATGATATGGTTATGATTTATATTCACTAGAGGTCAGTATTTTCAGATGTACATCTGCCCCACTGCTGTAAATCACTTTTATTGTGCTTGGATTTTATAATTTAAAAAATACTCAACTCTAAATATACACGTTTACGTGGTAAACTTTAATGATTATATTTGTTTTCAGAGACTTTTCTGAGCTCACAGCAGCCGTGGAAGACGACAATAACATTGTCACGTGACCAACCAACGCGGAAGTGACAGTCGACATTTTTTTTGTTGATGCGGAAGAAGAGAGGCGAGCCTTTAGTTTGTGTTGCGTATGAAGTTTGTTTTTATAATGAAACATAAGTAGCAGGCAACAACAACAACAACAGACGGGTCTAGTTTAATCTTAAGCGACAGGCTAAAGTTTGACCGACCTATCAGAAGCTAAATGGCCGGAGGTAACTTACAGGTGAGTCACAAACTTTTGTTAAGCTAAGCTAAGCTAAGCTAAGTTACCTGGTTACATAAGACGGACTTAAAGAGACGCTAAACTGTTTAAAGTTAAACTTTTTTATCACCTTAAACGGTTCATTCAGTGTGTTAAAATACGTATATTTAAAGATAAAGATGAACTAACTCGGTACCAGAGTTTAGAGGTAATAAATAATGATTCGTTTAATTTAATGCTTTATGGATCAGCTACAAGAGAACGATAACAGTTGGGTTGCCAGGTTGGGAAAAACATCCCTTTCCATCCCTTCACAGGTGGTAAACATTAAGCTCATTGTTACAGATGTCTTAACATCTTTAAACTTCGAACGTGGTTTATTTTAAAGACAGTTTGAGGCCCAAAGAGCTCAAATCAAACAACACAATAAAGATTAAATTAAAGTCCAAAAAGTTAATAGAAATGTGTTCAGCTGAACTTTTTCATTCTTCATTCATCTCATCAATCAAACTGGACTAAACTTCCTAACTGTTTATAAAGTTAGTAAAAACCAGTAAAATGCTACTATAATGCTTCAGTGTTGACTCTCTAATATTCTATATTATGTCACTTTTTATACTTTAAATACTTCTGTACCTTCCCTTAAGTAGGATTTTAAATGAATTAATAATATTTACTTGTAATATTCTTATGTTGTTGGTCATTTTATTTTAATTAATTATTAGACACTGGCCTTTCACTACGTACCCATATTAAAACTTTATAAGTTGCAACTAATGGCTTTATTAATAGTTAATAAATCATTTATTAACAACATTTATAACAGCATTATTACCAAATATAAAGCAAAAAAACTGCCAAAAAGATTTTTCGCAACCTCACAAAGTTTCTATTATTAGCTCCAAATTAAAAGCATGTGTTGAGTAATTATTACCCTTTAATAAACACATTGTCTGTTGTCTGTTCTCAGAAAGCTATCGATCTCGCCAGCAAAGCTGCAACCGAAGACAAAGCCAAAAACTACGAGGAGGCCCTCCGATGTTACCAGAACGCAGTTCAATACTTCCTTCATGTTGTCAAGTGTGAGGAGCCCGATCGGCGTTCGATTTATTACAATATCTGTGTGATTTCTACGTTGTCGACCGCCATCGTCTATTCAACCCCGTGATGTAAGTTGCCTTCCTGTGTTGCAGACGAGGCCCAGGGTGAGCGGGCGATGCAGAGCATCAGAGCCAAGTGTGTGGACTACCTGGACCGAGCCGAGCAGCTGAAGGAATATCTGAAGAAGAAGGAGAAGGCTCCTCCGGCCAAACCCGTCAAAGAGTCTGATGACAAAGGGTGAGTCAGCGTTATCCCGGTGTGTGTTGTTGTGGTGACTTTCTTCAGTTCGTCTTTGAATTCAGGCTCATTGCAAAACTGATTTTCTGAACATTTGAAACCTGCATTGTTTACATCCATGTTTACGTCCTAGCAGTCTTATTTTCTTCAGTCTCTGCTGGCACATTGCTGCACTTCCCGACACATTACCCCCAACTGTCGTTCAGTGGAGTAATGTGAGGCCATTGGCAGAAATGTGTATTGAGTGATGCATGACACACAATAAACGTGAACCCACTCATAAAGACGCAGCTCCACAGCGCTACTAAACTCCACAGGGTCCCTTTAAGAATGTGTTTGATTCCAAAAGACTCCCTTTGAAAGAACTGCTGAACTCTTAATGGAATAACTGATCTTAGAGATCCATTATTAAAATGTGTTGCCTCCCTGTGGACATACGTGGCATTTCCTGGAATTGTTTAATTTAAAGTGCACCAAATGAACATCTATAAATAAAAACCCAATTACAAGTATTTCTCAGGGACCTTCCGAAGAATTCAGTTTCATATCAGTTTTTTTCTAAGAAGTTATTATAAAACTACAGGGTCTGTAAAATCAAGTGTTACTGCATAACCCTGAAAAAAATATACAAGTAATTACTTTAATAAGTGTTGTTAAATCCCGATGTTTGCTGTTCTCATGTGATTTCAGGGATGAAAGTGGTGATGGGGACGACGCAGAGAAAAAGAAGTTTGAAAATCAGCTCTCAGGTGAACGACGCCATCGCTGCTTTAAATGAACACAGAGGCAGACACAGATAGGGACGTCATAACTCAGACAGTTAGTCGTCGATACCAAAACCGGGGAAATTACTTGATGATGCGCCTCACGTCTCTCGTCACAAACTCAGTTTTACAGGATTATATTAAAACACATCATAATATAGTCATAATTTACCTTCGTCCAACAGTCATTTTTACTGAACAGAGCTTGAACGCATCACAACGTAACTCATTGCAATCTTCGTTAACGTTAGCTGTTAGCTCCGTTATTTAGCCGAGCAGGACTGTGCTGCCTTGCGGCGATAACCAGTTCTCCTCTTGCCGATTATCAGAAGGTCTATCTCCGGTTCAACAGTACTACGTGACTCCACCCTCGAAAGGGTCGCAGTTTGGTTTAGACACCAAAAC